AACTTTGCATTTTGTAGGGTTTTAACGGAAGGGATAATGTTAAAAAAAAAAAGGAGATCGAGTGATGGATGATTTATCTGCAGCCGTTGATATCTTGGACGGTGGAGATTTGGTTTTTTTATGTATTATTGTTTGAAAATGTACACGTGGTTTTAACTCGGTTATTCTTAACACCGTGACGTGACCGACCATCAGGGACATGAATGACGCATAAAATAAAGAATATAAATAGGGGTTATTTCTTTTATTTCGTCCCCGGACCCATAAAATAAAGAATATAAATAGGAGTTATTTCTTTTATTTCATCCCGGGTCAAAAAAATACCCAAAGCCGGCCGTGGTTAGGAATATAAGAGTTTAATGTCAAAAGATTTAGAATTATATTTGAACATACATTGTTTTATACTTCTTGTACTTACTTCAGATTAATAAAAAAAACTACTCATTTTCAAACTCGATAAAATTTAAACGTCCACAATCTAATTTAATGTTAAAATAGTAATTTTGGATGTAATTGAAAATGTGATAAAAATCATAACATTTTAAATTTAATACAACTTAAAATGTTATCTTCCTAACATTTTCGATTGACAACCGAAAATATTACATTTTTCGTAGCATTTGAGATTCAACCGAAAACAATAGAAATATTATAACATCTTAGGTTGCACTCAACCTAAAATATTATGATCTTTATCATATTTCCGATTACGCTCCAATGTCCCCGTTTTTAACTTTATATTAGGTTATCGCACATTAGAATCACCCACAAACTCGACAATTATACATTTAAACATATTTAGATGAATATTTTAAATTTAAATATAATTATTAATACCGAATTAATAAAACTCAGTATCGAATAGATCTATTTATGATTCCGAGTTAAATTAGCTTGGAATGTAATCAAATTCAAAACAAATTTTATATTTAAAGTTTTAAACTCAGTATTTAATCTAACCAACGAAATATTTAATAAAACTCGTTTAATCCGATGTTGTTTCAATGCATTTTTTAATCTATAAGATATTGATGTTGTAGATGATATCGAGTCTGTGTGTGAAGATCTCAATCACTTTGATGTTGCTGAAAATTTAATTTATAAAAGAATTAATATTTTGTTTTTATTACTCCTTCAGTCCTAATGTTTCATCTCGGTTATCACGGACTAATCCGACACATCTGATTTTGATGTGCGAGTCTTCTAATAGGGATTTTCTGTATATACAAAAACTCGAAAACTTGTTTAAACGATATCATGTTACTGACCATTTGAATCAATCCATTGATAAAAGAATTAATATTTTGAATATGTTTGTTGAGATGAAAGTCTCAATTGATAAGTGGCCAAAAGTTTTTGTTGCAAATCAATCTCTCAATGAAATTCTCAGAATTCGGTGTAGATGGAAACGGTTAAATATTGAAGACGAAAATCCCAATGAAAATTGTGTCAATGTAGATATTATTAGAGATTGATATAAAATATAGCTTATAATATTTGAAATTTTATTGTAATTGTTTTGACCAGGAGCAAATTTGATGATTAAATTCAGGGTAAACTATACAAATGATACCTCCAATTATAAGATATTAAGTTCATCGACTATTAAAAGTTATAAAATAGTCCTTTTACTATAGAGTGTTATTTTGTTGATTCCTTCGACTATTACAACTTACAAAATGATCACATGATTATCATATTACAGTCATCAGGTTAACGTTCATGGCGTACTCGTTTTCATCCAGTTAGGGTTAAGGAGGTTTCTTAATGATGCTCATGATTGTATCTTGTTTTGTATGTATATCATGGAATACAATAAAAAATACCCATTAAAAAAATGGGGGATTAACGTGCAACTCATAATTTTTAACGGAAAATGACGAGTATGAAATATATGAATAGTTTGATGACTATTTTGTAATTGGCTTAATACAAAAATAAGTTCCTAAAGAATGTATCAAAAAATATTTTAGTGCCTGAAGAATTTTTCGTTAAAAATAAGTGTCTAAAGTTTTCTCCATTATATTTTTAGGTGTATACCGTTAAAAAAATCGTTAAGTGACACATGCCACGTTTATATATTTTTTTAAAATCTGGACATGACACGTGTCACTTAGGTGATTTTTTTAACGGTATGCACCTAAAAGTGTAACGAAGAAAACTTTAGGCACCTATTTTTAGCAAAAAATTCTTTAGGCACCAAAAATTAATTTTGAGTATAGTTTAAGCACTTATTTTATATTAAGCTTTGTAATTTTTAATAGTTGAGGGACTCAACAAAGCAATGTAATATACTCGGGATCATTTTGTAACTTTTAATAATTGAGAAACTCAAAAAAATACCTATAATCAAGAGACCATTTGTATATGCTACCCTTAAATTTATCTAATTTATTAATATGGAAAATTTTAGTTAATTAGATTTTGGTGATTAAGTAATACCTTATAAATAAATAGAGTTAACCTTTAGAATGAAGAGGATGAGAAGAGTTGTAGTCGATTTTTTGTGCGAAGATTTGTAATTTTTTAGAGGATTAATACAAAAATAAATGTCTAAAGAATGTTTCGAAAAACGTTTTGGTTTCTAAAGAATTTTTCGCTAAAAATATATACCTAAAGTTTTTTCTGTTATACTTTTATATATGGACGTGACATATGTTATTTAACGATTTTTTTTAACAGTATACACCTATAAATGTAACGAAAAAAATTTTATTCATCTATTTTTTAATGAAAAAATCTTTAGGCAAAAAAATTAATTTTTAGTATAATTTAGGGAGTTATTTTTATATTTAGCCTTTTTTAGACTAAAGATCATAATAAATCTAGATGTAGAATTAATTGTATAGGAGATCCTCAAACTATAAGCCTTATTATAAATTTATATATTAATTTTATAATATTTTATATTAGTCTCTAAATAATGACCATCATTCTATATTAATCTCTAAATTTTAAAAAATTCTATATCAGTCATAAAATTATCAATGTCATTCTATTTTGATCTTTACGTTAATCTGTCATTAATTCTACAAAATTTTGAAGACCTTGGAAATTGAGGATATGACTTTATAAAAATTGATTTTTTATAAATGTCACGTGTTTAATTCTCAAGATCTTAAAAAATAGATTAAACTTTTTGATCAAGAGAGTTAATAACACGTTAACGAATAGATAAAAATGGAATAATACTAACAATTTTCGAATTCATATGGTATGTTTTAAAGTTCATGGACCAATTTAGAATGTGACTATAATTTGACTTGTATAATTTAAGTATGCCTAATTAGAGATGAACTCTTACAGGCTAGTGGGGATGGTCATCCCCTTCAAATTTTAAATTCTCAATGTAATTTAGATAATTTTTTTATATTTTATATTGATAATATGTTTTTGTTCCTTAAAATTTTATAGGGTCATCCTCTAGCATAAATTCCTTCTCTACCCTATATCAAGTTTAAAATGACCTAATTGATATGATTTTGATACTTTAGAGTCAAGTACTAACAACCAGTTAGTCTAGTGGGATGTGACACTAGATCCCTTAAGCAATGTCAAGGGTTTGAATCATGACATTTCCGAATGGAGCAAAATTGGATTGGAAGGATCGCCCTCACCTCTGCAGTACCAGATCCGAATTAGTCGATTAATAAATCGGATACCGGGTTATAAAAAAATACTTTAGAGTCAAGTGTTTGTACTTGGTATAGCGGTGACAAAGGTAGATAAAAACATTGATGCATGCACTGAAACGCCCCAAACATATGCACCTGCAACTCGCCACAACAGGATCAGAGACATGGTTCACAGTCGACAAATGGGTAGGTTTTAGTTAAAATGAAAGAATCACAGTATATGTATATATGTGTGTATGTATGTATGCATGTTTGCATGTATGAAATAAACTCTTTTTGGATTGGGCAATCGGCTTGTACAGTAATGGTCCCAATGCGTCCATATATCAACTTACAGCATTCAACTGTGAGTGCACCGGTGAAAATCAGGTAATGTTTTCGATTCGGATCTTTGAAGGCGTCCACATGCACATTTATGAACTAACTGCATCCACCAGCTAACAAGGAACTCGTTTTTAATAACCACATTTACTTGTATTTCACCAAACAACTTGTATAGGTGGTTAAAGGTAGGGGTGTAAACGAGCCGAGTCGAGTTCGAATATTTCTGAGCTCGACTCGACTCGAAAACTAACGAGCTTAAAATTTTTAAGCTCGACTTGAACTCGAAATCCTGAACTGAAGCTCGTGAGCAATTCGAAAAGGCTCGAAATGAAAGAAAAAATTCTTAAACTTAACTAGATTGAAGCCTCAAACTCAAACTCGAACATGAACCTTAAATACATGAAAATCTTACTGTATTTTTTTAAAAAAAATCAATACATAAATATTATTAATAATTTATTTTTAAAAAAATAAAATATTAATATATTATATTTTCGAGCTGCTCACGAGCTTTTCGAGTCGAATATCGAGTAGCTCGTTTCGGCTCGTTAAGAACTCGAGTCGAGTCCATTCGATCCAATATTTATCGAGCCTTGATCAAGTCGATCTCGAATAACTCGCAATCTGTCTCGTCTCATTTACATATTTGTTAAAAAAAAATCGTGGCATTTGACAATTTTGCTTATTATTCCAACTCATCGTAAGGATCTACATGCAATTCATGTTAAAATACAAGCACCACTGCAGTACTTTTACCCATATTATCACCCCACCCATAACTCCAATAAACAAAGCATGCAAATCGTGCTGCGACCTAACCATATTTAGGGATGGGAACGGATTGGATTGATTCGAATTTTTTGTCAATATGACCCGATCTAAAAATAAATATCTTCTATTTAAATTCAATTCGATCTAAAATTATATACCTCTATCTGACTCAAAAAATACATATCCTACTCGACTCTGATTAAACCAAATTTTTAGAATATAAATATGACTTAATATAAAATAAGGACCCAAATCTGAATTTTTTTAATCTAGATAAGCAAGTAGCAGCATATTTCACTGAAAATAAAAAAAAGTAACACCGACACTAATCTGTTCACCTCCATAGTCGGAGATGGCATATGCTTTTTGAATTGAAATACTGGTTCATATGATATAATTCAAAGAAATACTGATCACTACTACTTTTAAGGCTTTAAGCCTTACCATTGTTGATGAAATCTGCAACTTTCTTCAGCTTAGCCGCAGCATTTTCGCCACCGGGGTTGTGCAAATGGAAGACATGATTTTCTCCTTTAGCCTCCATCAGCTCCACTTCACCTCCCCATCCACTTTGCTTCAGCTTCTCGCAGTAATACACGCCTCTCTGTTTCAGAATATCCTTTTCAGCAACGCAAACGAGCACCCGGTTGCACCCCAAGCCCCCGAAGTTCGGGTCGTCAATTGGGTTGATCCATTGGTCATCGGACCCACTGGTGTTCGGATAGGACAATCGCCAAAGTGTATCTATTTTGTCCCTTGTGACCAGATCCTTGGTCTCGTCGGCGATTGGTTCTTTTCCCCAGAAATAAGGATGAGCTAAAATGATGCCCTCGAGATGGACACCGTCGATCTTTTCTTTTGTCATTTTAACAGCCATGTGGTGGGCAATATTTGCACCGGCGCTATCACCCGAGAAATAAACGTTGTTTAAATCGGCGTGGCGGTTCAGCCATTCTTCAGGGCCGTTTCCGTCGCGATGGGACGCGACCCATTTAACGGCGTCCCACGAATCGTCGTAGGCGGCGGAGAGGGGGTGCTCCGGTGCTAGTCGGTAATCGACGGAGACGGCCACGATATTAGCTTCGGCGACCAAGGCGTTTAAGTAACCGTGATACGTGGGGGAGTAGGCGGTCTCTATGCAAAAGCCTCCGCCGTGGAAATACACGAGGAGAGGAAGTTTTCCGGCGGCGTTTAAGGGGGTGTAAATCCTCACGGACTGGGAGGTTTCTTGGGAGTACAAGACGTCTTTGGATTCGACGTTGGTTTTGGGGTCGAGGCCCGGTGGTACGATTTGAGTGCCTAAAAACCTCTCGATGCGACCGTCCTTGTAGGCCCGGAGCATCGGAGGGAAATCGATGGCTATTTCTGATGCGGCGGATTCCATTGCAGCGAAAAAAGATAAAGAGAAACAAACACTCAAATTGGAGGGATCTTGGTGATTGCTTTGAGGATATACCCACAGTGACTGTACTGATCACAAAGATCTTATAATACCCGAATTTTGATTGGAAAAGGCAAGGTGGAAATGGCAAGTTTTTGTCTTTTTCCTTCTCCTTTGAAGATAATGTGCACAAAAATGGTTTATAAATAATTACTTTTTAAGCGGAGGATAAAAAAATTGATAAATTTTTTAAACAAATAGGTATAAATAAAATTTTAAGATGAGTATCGTACGAAAAATATATAATTAATCAAAAAAAATTTAGATTTTAAGATGATGCACGAAAATTTTAAGATAGCTGCCATTAGTCTATTAGTAAAATAAGTCACTAATTTAAGAAATTTGAATGTCAGGCTAGACACGTGCTCACCCTCATCAAACTATGACTCCACCACTTTTTTAGGGTAATTTGCACAAATAATCCTTCATTTGTAAAGTATCGTTTTATTAAGTTATTCGACTATTAAAAGTTATAACATGATTTTCTAATTATATAACATTGCTTTGTTGAATCATCGACTATTAAAGTTTACAAAAATGTTCACTTGACTATTCATATATTCCAAATTCGTCATTTTTTATTTAAAAATTAATGATCGAGTTGAACGTTAACCTACTCACTGGGACATGATAAAATCGGTGTTTATTGACATTGTAGTTACTTTTCAACGGCATAATATTTTTAAGTAATGACTTGACTTCATAATTTAGAGGTCTCTTACGGAAGCTGCTCTCAACCTGGTGTTGGGGGTAGCCTACTATCTTACCTCCCCCTTACCTCATATATATGGGAAAAAAGGGACATCCATTTTTTGACAACATAATGTAAGTAGAAATTCGATCCATAAAATACAACTAAAGTAGTACTAAGATTATATTTTACCATATCTAAGTGAGCATGTGGATGTCTAATTGGAACAACCACTAATTTTTTTAACAGAAAAAAAGAGTTTGGAACATATGAATAGTCAAGTGATTAATTTGTAACTTATAATAGTTAGAAGATTCAACAATACAATGTTATACAGTAAGTGGATCATTTAATAACTTTAAATAGTCAATGTACTCAATAAAGCATAACTTTATAGTTGAGGGATCGTTTGTGTAATTTACCATAGTTTTTAATTTATTATTTAACATAATAGTTAATAGTGTTATAAACATTAATTTGGCTTAATGAATAATTCGATTCATAAAATACACTTTTATTTTTCTTAATTTGGTAACAAATTTTTTATTATTTCATTTTAATACCCAACTTCATTATAGATTTAACCTAAAAATTTAACGATATTAAAAAAAAAATCAACCAACAAAAAATAACATGCTACATCTAACATTGGAGATGGACACAAAATGGAGTGGTTCATCTTTTGAAGTAAAATATATATATATGATTCAACAAATATATATATATATATATATATATATATATATATATATATATATATATATATATATATATATAATTTTTTTCGATAAAATATGAATCTAATTGAAAATATATATAAAAAGAGATTTATTATAATAATCGTATTTAAATATATATAAGGAATAAATACACTATTATCTCAGATCAAATCGAATATATTTATTATAAATCTGAATTTAATCTGACTCGAATGTTACCCCTAAAAAATCTACCTATCAATTTTATGTCCATCCCTATCCATCGTGGTCTCTCTATCTTTTCGTTTATCTCATGACATTTCTCTATTCATAAATCTTCATCAACTTCCATTAAGGATGGACTCCAACCTCGAATCAATAACATCGATTTTATGGACGAATTATCTGTTGCAATCCCATTTACCCGTTCATCGAGTTGATGAATTAGGAACAAAGAAATGTCATAGGAGAGATTACAGGTAAGCGTTCGATCGAGTCAAATTGAGTTAAAAGATTTTTGAATTATTCGAGTTGACGATTTCTATTTTACAACTCGAAGTTGACTTGAAATTCTTTTAAATCGTGTCGAATCAAATTTTCGAGTTTCTGTTTAAATTTAATTATGAATATTTATAATATTATGATATTATTTGATTACAATTTAAATGATTTTTTATAACATATAAAATACATATATTTATTCAAAATTTTCATATGTGATATACACATATCATACAGAGTCGAAGGACTTGACTCAAACTTGAAATTCAATCCACTAATTCCTAAAAAAAATTAGTTATTTGAGTTATTATTCTTGTATTTTACAGCTAGATTTGAACTTAAATTTTTTTAGTCGAATCGAGTTTATGAAATTATAACTCAAATTAATTTGAGTATAATTTTATCTAGTCAATTTGAGTTTTGCTCACCCTTAATAAAGAGACAGGGAGATGAAGAGATGAAAATGATAAAAGACCTAACAACACATCTTTTGGTTGATTGAATTTTCCTAACTTTAGATTTTTAGAATAAAATCTATAACATGATCCTACTTTAGATATCAAAATGAGACAAAAAAAAAATTAAGTACCAATCCAAAAGAAATATATACTTTAAGGTAAAATTATGAATCAAGTAGGGATGAACCTGGGTCAGGTCGGGTCGAATTTTTGGTCCACCAGACTAGACCTAAAATTATAAATCTTTCACTGGACCCGAACCTGACCTGAAAATATACATCTTCCACCCGACCCGAGCCCGACCCATTTTTTTGATATAAAATCTGAACTCGATCCGACCAAAAACGAAATAATTTATTTATTAAAAAATTTTATTTTTAATAAGAATATGGATTTATTTTAAAGAAAACATTATATAAAGGAGAATTATTGGAATTATCCCTAAATATATAAGGTAAAATTATAATTTTTTTGGGTCAGGTGGTCTGGTTGGATATTTTCATCCTAAACCCGAACCCAACCTGACCAGTACATAACAGTAAAAAATTCTGACTTGAACCTGATTCTTTTTAAAATTCGACCTGATCAAGTCAGATCAAGTCGAAACCTGTCGGTTCGGATCCCATACCCATCCTTAGTATTAAGTCTAAATAATTGACATTTACACTTATACTATTATAATATTGCAATTTTATATTAGGGTTAACTACTTCAAATACTATCAACATTTAAGCGCCAACTCGTTTATACCACCAGCCGTTTAAATTTTGTCAATTTTAATACTAACATTTATTTTTAAGTGCAATTATATCACTCCACTGTTAATGATTTAACGACACGATAACATGGTAGCTCCACGCCGTGATGTTGTTGACGTGGATGCCTCACCAAAACTACGTCGTTTCGACATAACTAAATTGATGCTCAATAAAGACAAATCGACTTCGTTTTGCTTGAAAAAAAATATTAAAATATTATGGTTATGGGATTTGAACTCATGTCGCATGAATATTATTTCTTAATGCATAACCGCTGGGATATCTTACATTTGTTATCAAATTTCTAACAAATATTTAAACATCTTTGTTCCCAGAAGAAATGTTTGTTCCACATAAGACAACTCATCTTCTTCGTCGTTCATAGCAGAACAGGAAATCATGGTTTCTTGATTACTCAATGTTGAGAATGAACTCAAGTTCTTACGGGGATTTGAACTCTAAACCAACTAAACTTAGGGTGCATTTGGTTTACAGAATGTAAGATTACCAGTGGGAATAAAAGATTATCAGGTAATATGATTACTGATAATGTTGTATTTTGTGTTTGGTTGGTTTAGCAGGAATGTAAGATTACCGTGTTTGGTTAAAGGAATAAAGGATTATTGAAATGTATATTTGATCAAATTATCCTTATTATATATTTGTTTTTATAACAAGTTGAAAAATATTTATATATTTTCTTTAAAAAATTTAAATTCATAAAATTTATATAATTTTTTTATAAAAATTGGAAATATAAAAAAATTTAATGAAATGGTAAAATTTTATTTTAATCCTTGAATTTCATATAAAATTTTAATTATAGACTTTTTTTTTTTTGTAAATCTAAAATAGTTTAAGGATAAATTTGTAATTTAACATTCGTAGAATTTTTATTATTCAATGAAGAATAAGGATATTTTTTAAGAAAAAAAAATTAAGGGCATTTTAGTCCAAAATACCGGTAATCTAACAATACCTAAGGAAATAAAGATAATGACGTTCCTGGTAATATACCCCAAAAAATCTACTATTGGTAATGTAAGATTACCGGGAATAACATTCCCGGCCAACCAAACGGGGGAATGTGGATTTCATTCCCATGAGAATCTCACATTCTCCCAACGAAACACACCCTTAAGTCTTGAGTTTTCATTATTATTATTTTTAATTTCTAAAATTTTAAACGACATAAAGACTAAACCCATTCAGACAGTGGACCAAAGAAATAGTTGAAAGCTAAACCAAGCTCCTCCAATGAACTCATATTCTGGAATATTTCAATGGGGATTTTACCAGTGAAATTGTTACCAGACACATCGAATGATTCCAAAGAACTGCAAGAACCAAAGGTATTAGGATTTAGGAATCTAGCCAGAGAGATTATTATAAGAGAGGTCGAGCTTAACAAGATTCGAACAAGCTTAAGAGAGATTATTATAACAAGATCATTATAAGGAAGTAACCACGTCATCAATGTCACGGCACGTTGTTGTTATGTCATCGTTTCGTTAATTCATTAACCGTTAAGTGACATAATTACATTTAAAGTAAATATTAATAATAAAATTCATAAAATTAAAACGTTGATGGTATAATTGTGCTCCTACTCGCTACTCATTTTAGCAAACGACCAGAATTGATTTTGTCGTTATACCCAATGATTTGGACCATGTGACCATGAGTTAAATGATTGTAATATTTATTTTTTAAATTAATTTTTAAATAATATATTAAAAAACATTCTACCTTATGTAATTAGAAAAAAAATCAATTTATATATTTACATATTATTAATTAAATTTTAATTGAAATATATAAAAACTAATGTATAAAATATTATTTTTATAGTCATCTATATCTGATTTATTAATTGACTAACATGAATTGGATACTACAGAGACGATGACGATATTTTCAACCTAATTTTCTCTATTAACAAATACCATAATTCAAACATTCTGATTTTACTTAAAATATCCAATTTCCCACTCCACTAGACCAACGGAATACTGATAAATATTAAATTTATGATATCAAATTTAAAATTTCATATCAAGGTATTAGAATTTTGATGTCAAATTTGATTTTAGGTAATGGTCAATTTAACCTATCAAAAGTGATTGCATCATTATTGAAATACAAGACCCTCTTCTGGGATCAATGGCAATCACTTCCATTATTTTCAACATGGCTTTTTTCCTTCGTACAATGAATTACATGGGAAAAAAAATAAAGTATATTAAAGTTTTTTAATTATGTTAAAATAATCATTTTGATTAATAAATTTTTAAAAAATATAAATTAAATATTACATTTATGATACAATTATAAAATAATAATTGGATTTTATCAGTTCGTTACATAATAATCATTAAATTTGATCAAATTGTTATATGATTATTAAATTTATTAACTTTTACACTTGTTATAATGTCGTAGTGATATTGTTATAACAAATTGATAAATTTATTGAACATATACTAACATTTTTTAAGCAAATAAAAGTAGTTAATTTTATTAAAAAAATAAAAATTCAAAATTAAATAACAGTTTATAATGATACCATATAATTAGGATATTTTATATAATCTTAGACACGAAACTAGTAACTAAAGATCGTATAAGGACCCATATAAAGAAAAAGTCAAAACCTCATCAAAAAAATCGAACAAAATAAAGATGTGAATAAATCTAACTATATCAACAAATGGATCACAACATAATATCAAGCTTCTGAAAAGACCGTCGACAATAGCAAATCAGAGTCGAGCATCGTGAGAAAACGCCATATTGATTAGCCGAGGTGATGTCATATTCAACCCTAGAAAATTAAAAAATAAGATCAACCCAACAACCAATAAAAAAGATTGAACATACCAAACGATAGACGAAAGCGTACCAAAAACAGAAGAAAATATGCCAAAAAGCATGTTTATTAATAAAAAAAACTAACAGTCGATAATAACACTAAGATCGATGTCGTCACCGACCAATCAATTTTTTAATAAAAATAAAAAGGCAAGCGGCGCAAGTCTAAAGAAAAGCTAGGGCAAAACTTTCAAAGTGTATATAACAACTTTTAAAAATTTAATTATCAAAACGATAATTTAATCATAATTGATAAAATTTCATATACTTAAGCATAAAAAGAACTTGTACGTTTCACTTCACAATATTTTTGCGTTTGAATTGTATACTCATTTTATAAAATCTAATAATTATTTTACAATAACTTTTTAAATAGTATGAGTGATTAAGATAGTATATATTTAAAAAAAATTAAATCATTGACAACGCATACATAATCTATAGACATATCTATTTGAATTCAGAACTTGTAAGGAGAATAATACTCTACGATACCCTTGAAATCACTTGATAAATTATTATTTTTTAAAAATTTAATAATCACCCAACTGTAATCACTGGTGTTCGTACATGTGATCTCTAAAAACAATAACGATTACTTTAATCACTGAGGTAAATTAGTTTATACAATTCGATAATATTAATATTTATAAAAGGATAGAGTCTGATCAACAGCCTTATATTAAGTGTTGAGAAATGAAGAAACTAGATTCAAGAGATCCACAGTTTTCTCAGAAGCCGGTTTAAGCAAATAAAAAACATGTTCCTCCCCTTGAATCTCCACCATCTCTATATCTCCATTCCACCCACTCTTCTTCACTGTTTCATAGTAAGCCACTCCAGTTTCTCTCAAGAAATCTTTCTCCGCAACACAAACCAGAACCCTTTTGCAGACCAGACCGGCAGCTAGCTCGTCAATGGCGCAACCCGGGTTCAACCTCGGGTCGTTCGGACCACTGCTCGTCGGAAAAATGAACTCCATGAACTCGTCAAGCTCTTGGTTCATGAAAAACGGGGTCGTCAAAAGCAAACCATCGAATTTGAGTCCCAGCAGCTCATCTCCAGCAGCTCTCATTATCATGTTATGTGCAATGTTGGCACCGGAGCTATCGCCAGCCAAGAAGACTCGATCGAAGTCGGCTCTTTCGTTGAGCCATGGCTCGGGGCCATCCCTTTTAGCATGTGAAGCAACCCACTTGATGGCGGTCCATGCGTCGTCGTATGCAATGGGGAGAAGGTGTTCTGGGGCTTTTCTGTACTCGACTGAAACTGCTATTACGTTCGCTCTGTTGACTAGGGAAGTGAGGTAGTTATGGTAAGCAGGAGAGAAAGGTGACTCCAAGCAAAACCCGCCGCCGTGGATGTAGATGAGGAGCGGGATTTTGGCGGAGGGGTCGGTGGTTCGAGGGATAAATATACGAGCGGATGTTAGGGTTGACACTGGGGAGTCCTTGGATCGAACGCCGGTTCGAGGGTCATCACATGGCGGCACCGTTTCCGTTTGTCGGAGTCTCTCGATGCGTCCGTCTTTATAAACTCGGAAAATGGGGAAGGAAGGGAAGAATTCATGGGCTATTTCTGGTGTACTGATTGAAGCCATGTCAAAGAAGATGATAAGATGAGCTACATAACTCGAAAATCAGACTGGTATATATAGCGTAAATTATGTTTTTAGTCATTCACTTATTTTTACAGTTTCATTATGATCAACTATCTATTTTATCTAAATTATAGGTAAGGTTATGTTTTTGTCATCCGTTGTTAAAAAATTAACAGAATTGTAGTAACAATTCATTTTTATCTTTTCCAACGATGATGTAATTATCTTAGTAACATGTTAATATTATTGTTAACTTTTAACAAGTGACTAAAATAGAATCAAAATATAACGTTGAGTATGATTTAAAGAAAATAATAATTAGGTCATCAAAACTTAAAACCTAGACTAAAATAAGTGAAATAAGTCAGATATATGAAATAAGTAGATGACTAGATATATAATTTACCCTATATTATATTCAACGTTATAAATTATAATGTTAAATGAAAAATAAAACAAGATTTATAATCGGTTCAACTGATATTGATTTTCAATTTGATACTGGTACGTAATCAGCTTTTTCTGGCTTAATACCTAAAATGACTATGATAAATTATACTAGTGACCACCCAACTATAGCTTATTTTCATTTCGACCACCATTTTTAAATTATTATCAATTAAACCAGTTAACTATTTAAATGCATTCAATCAGGCAGAAGTGACGACGTTAATAAAAATTGGTACAATTTATATTTTTTTTATAGGAATTGAAGGTCTAGTTAAAAAACTCTTTCTTGATTAAAGGAGTCTTAAAGACAAACTCCTTAATCATCTGAACGAGGAAAAGAGTGTCTTAGGTACAATTTATATTTAATCCTTATTACTTACACAATCTATCAAATTGGTTGTAATTTTAAATTAATTCAATACATTTTAATCATTCAATTATATGATGACACATATCACGTAAGGAAAATAAATTAAACAACATTGTACAGTGGTGGGATTGGGGAATTGAACCTAATCTCCCTAAGTAATAAGGAAGAGCCTCAATCACTACACCAAAATAGTTTTTGATATAATTCTTATAACAATTAATATTTATCTTATAATATAATGAAGATAATAACAATAAAAATAAAAACAACACTAAAACGACTAGATTCAATCCGTTATAAATTATTAGTTTATTCTTTTATATCTATATTCCAATCGGGTCAGGTTTAAGGAAAAATATATTATTTTTACTATTTAAATTATAATAAATAATTATAAATGTATTATTTTAAAGTATTAATATATTTGAATCTGGGTAGAGTCGGATTTAAGGTAAGAAATCACTGATCCAACCTAAACCGGTATAAATTACTAGTTAACTATTTAAAATATATTTGAACTGGATCAGGTTAAAAGTATACTTACAACAATTAATATTTATCTTATAATATAATGAAGACCAGAATAATGAAAATAGAAGCAACACTAAAATGACTTGATTAGAATAAATTAATATTTTAAAAATATATATTTGTCTTATAATATACTTATAATTATTTATTATATTTTAAATGGTTAAAATAATATATTTTTAGCTTAAACCCGATCTGGTTCGAATATAAAAAAAGGTAAACTAGTAATTTATACCGGTGTGAGATGGGTCAGTGATTTATTACCTTAAACCTGGCCCTACCCCGATTCGAATATATTAATATTTTAAAATATTTAAAATAATATATTTATAATTATTTATTATAATTTAAATAGTAAAAATAATATATTTTTCCTTAAACCTAACCGATTCGAATATAGATATAAAAAAATAAATTAATAATTTATATCAGGTTGAATCTAATCGTTTTAGTGTTGCTTTTATTTTCATTATTCTGACCTTCATTATATTATAAGAAAAATATTAATTATTGTAAGAATTATACTAAAAATTATCTTGGTGCAGTGGTTGAGGCTCTTCTTTCTTAGCTACGAAACCTAGGTTTGATTCCCCCGTCCTATTCTTTTACAATGGTGTTAATTTATTTTCCTTCCATCAGATGGTGCACGTATTACCATTTGATTAGAAGAAAAATATTTAAATTAAATATAAATTAAATTAATAAAATCCCTCCAATGATATCATACACATGTCATCATATAAATCATATAATTAGATGATTAAATATATTGAATTAATTTAAAATTATAATCAATTTGATAAATTGAGTAAGTAATAAGGACTAAGTGTAAATTGTATCAACTTTAATTTAGCACTTTTATTTTTTTTTCCCATTACTCTAACCCTTTCATTTCTTCTACTATAATGACCCTTAACATTTTATGTTAAAAATAATGTGATGTAATCAAATTTCATCATGTGCAAAATGAGATTTAACAAAAAGATCTAGAAGAATTTATAATATTTTTTAGGCCTTTAAATATAAAATATGTGCCCAAAATATTGTTTCTCATGAATAGGTATCTAAAGTGTGTTGATTCTTTCCCGATGTCTAATGTTACAAATATAACTATTTTAGGTGTCTGGGTCGTCGATGACATTAGCTTCCTACGTTAAATGACACATGACATAATCTTAGAATTTTAAAAATTTATTTTTCTTAAAAGACAAAAACATTATTTAAAAAAAAAAATTCCCCTACCAGCGTCCCAGCCCCTAATATGAAAAAGATAAAAGGTTATTTTATTCTTTCTTAGTTCAAAAGAGGTAATAGATTGATGACTAAAGATGTAGTTTACCCTAATTTTTTTATCCATAAAATTTGCACCGACACACAGTTTGGAACAAATCCAAGCAACAATCATTTATGAATGGATTCTTCTCCCTATTGAACATGCATTATTGCAATGATTAAAAAAACCCCCAGCTTCTAACCTAATTCTACAACGCAAAATATAGAAGCGCTAAATAGAGAAAGAGTGCTTAGCTTCAAACCTGCCATTGTTGCTTGCAGCTTGGAGTCGGCGAAGCAGCTTGGCCGTCTTGCCGCAAAACATGTGTCCGGCGACGACCTGGATCTCATCGCCCGGTGAAGAATACTGGGCCGTCCTATTAAGCGATTTTCGACTCGGAATCGACAGAATTGGGGGAGTCTGTGAAGGGTTTATGTGGAGAAATTTAGGGTTTGGAAGATTGAGGTTTTTGGAGGGTAAAGAGAAGAAAGCACAAGGTTTTGATTTGGGGAAATGGAGAGAGAAAGGAGAAAGGGAAGGGGCAGTTGGGGCTTTCATGCTTGAAACAGTGACTAAAAACGAGATAGAGATGGAGATGCTCAATTTAAGATTGAAATTTGTAGAACGAACTAAATCTATATTGGATAAAATACAACAAGATCACTACATTACTAGTAATATTATAAGTCAGTCATTAAATTTTAAACATTTCAAGGCTTAATACCAAAATAAGAGCTCAAACTATACCTAAATTCTCGAATAAGTGTTTAAACTATTTTTTGATTCATTCAGGGTTTAACGTTACAAAAATTATTTATTTAGGTGTTCGGACCGTCAACAATATTAATTTCTCCTGTTAAGTAACACGTGTTGCAATATGGAGATTTTGAAATATTTTTTTAAAATATATTATTATATTTATAAAAAAACATATATTTCTCTTAAATTATAAAAAGTCTCAAAATACCTAAAATTCCTAAATCATATCCTTAATCCGTCGTCGCCCCTCTTTCCGGCCATGTTCATCGCAGCCGACGTAGTCCCTACCATCCTCCTAGTTATACGCCGTCGAGATCACATAGGATCGTGATTTTCATCCTAGGATTCGCGGGGTATAAAATGTCGATTCGTCGTTGATCGATCATGATTTTATGGGATTTTGGACGTTGGGGAGATGAGGTTTTGTGGAGCTTCATCAATGGTTATCGTGGTTTCAGGGATTGAAATAAAGTTTTTCGGGTTATTTCAAATGTTTATGTTTTCTTTAAAAATATATATAATTTAAAATTTTAATTTTAAATAAAAAAATTTTGAAATACCAAATTGTGACATGTGTTACTTAACGGGGAAATTAATGCCATTGACGACTCGATCACTTAAATAAGTAACGTTTGTAACGTTACACACCTGAATGGGTCAAAAAATAGTTTAGGCACCTATTCGAGAATTTAGGTATAATTAGACACTTATTTTGATATTAAGCCAAATTTAAATGAATAACTCAATTAATTAATTGCCACAAACATGGAATTATGTTGTTAAAAATGGATTGTACGTTAATTTTTTGTTACAATCGTGCTACTATGTCTATCAATTATAACAACCAAGTCATTTAATTTATCAATTGTAGCAATCAAGTCACTTATTTAGCTAAAATGTTAACACTAGTTATACGCTTAGTGAAATAGTGATCCGTTTGTAATAATAGAATAATTGAGTGATTCATTTGTAACATTTTTAAATTTAGTAACTCGTTTGTAATCTTTCTAATAATTAATGGCATGCAGTATAATTGGGCACCCTAACATTTTACTAAATAATTATTTTTAGCATTTATTTTAGTCTAAAAAGTCTTCTAATGTTTAAGTAAATAGTCACTTTGACCTATACTTTTTTGGGACATTTTGACCTCAATATTTTATTTTTAGAGCAAAAAGATCCCTATTTTTTTTAGTGTTAACCGTTTATTGACTATCGAATTCAATCTACGGAAGAGTCTTTTTACCACTAAAATAAAATATTGGAGTCAGAATATTTCCAAAAAATAAGAATTAAAGTGATTATTTAATCAAATATTAAGATTATTTTCAATTAATACTAAAACCCCTATACCCCTCATTCTTAAAAAAAATAATCATAAATAAACCAATTAATACTGATTTTCACTAAACTTTACTCTTTCTCCTATTTTACTCACCATACTTTCAATTTTTCTATTTTGCTCATTGAACTTTATAGATTGAATCATTTTGCTCACTCTGTCGTTAAATTGTTAACGGTGTTATGACATGGCACAAGCATCAAAATGAAGTCATTTTGAAAAAAAAATCAAATATACACCAAAACGATGTCGTTTCGAATCCTCTTTTTCCCCCATTGTCGTCGCTGACTATTTTCATTTCGACCACCGTCGTTGAGGTGATCATTCAGTCCTTAAATTCATGGGTCGTTTCACCTCGACCCCCTGAGTCCAAATTTGGTGGTTGTTTCACAAAAAAAAATCCCAAAATCTGTGAATTTAGACTGAAACGTTTCGATTTCCTCACTTTCAATCTCCGATTCGTGGATTTCATAGTAAGTTTCAAAAAAATGGAGGTCATATTAAAAATCAATGTGTCAAGGTGAAGCGACCCATGAAATTTAGGACCGAACGGCCTCCTTCTACGACAGTCGATGGTGGTCGGCGGTGGCATCCGACCACCTTTTTTTTTATAGTTGGGTAAGCAAAATAAGATATAGAGTAAAGTTCATCGATGAACGAAATAATTTACCCTTTATATTTTTAATTTTTTATATTAAATAAAAAAAATGATACATCACCACACTGTTAGTGATCCACAGAGCTTAGAGCTTAGAGCTTAGAGACATCTTGGCAGAGAACGCAGAAGAAGTCACAAGAAAACCCTACAAATCTCCAGGATTCTTAGCGATCGATACCATGTTGAAATATCCACAAAGGATACAAAAGAAATATGAAAACAAGATTTACTTCATACTGCTTTCAAAGAACCTCTTACATTGCTTATATAGCTTCTGCACCAAGCTTAACTAAAGACGTTGAAGTGAGTTACACAGTTAATAAGAATTAACCCTAGCCAACAACCCTAACAACCAAACTGACTTTAGCAGTTTTTCTGAAACACGTGGCACACACCCTCACATCCTTCAATAGCACACAAGTCTTTCTAGCTTCTCACATCTCTTTCTCTGTCTGACAACTCCATTGCCAAAAGCTTCATTCTTCTTATCTCAAGTTTTTAACACATATGGGTCGCTTGGCATCAGACGAGGAGTGAATCAATAATTTCTTATCTCAGGTTTTTAACATATATGGGTCACTTGGCAATGCTGCTTTGCTTCACAGATACGGATTTGCAGAGCCTAATAATCCTTTTGATATAGTGAACATTGATTTGGAGTTGGTTCTCAAGTGGGATTGTTCGCTGCTCTCTAATCGGCACTGCAGATCAAGGTTGCCCCTTTGGAGAAGATTAGATCTGTCTGGAAGTGAAAGTGAGGACTCTGAATATTTTGATATCTCATTTGGGGGCGAACCTGAAATGGAACTACTGTCATTATTATACATAATGTTATTGCCGGATGATACATGCCATAAGTTGGATATGACCATTTGCACTAAAGATAAGGTTAATGAAAATATTGGCATGATCTTGTCAGAAAAACATGATATTACATTGGACAAGAGCTCAGAAATCAGTAAGGAATTGTTATTGACAGAAAAAGTTTGTAGTGTCCTCTTAGCACTTGCCGACATTCGCGAGAGTTGTTATGGTTTGAAGTCGATAGATGAGGATATGGAAGCTCTAAAGAGATGTTGCATGAAAGAAAGGAAATTGTATCATTCTTTGGTATTAAGAATAAGTGAGAGGATGTCTAAAAAAAATAAAAGAATAAGTGAAAGGAGGATCCTTGAGAAGCTTAGGACTCACGCTACAGCAGGAGCTCGTCGAAGTCGAACATTTCAGAATGCAAATAAAACCTCTGCAAGAAAGAAGAAGAAGAAGAAGAAGAAGAAGAAGAAGAAGAAGAGAAGAAGAAGAAAGAAGAAGAAGAAGAAGAAGAAGAAGAAGAGAAGAAGAAGAGAAGAAGAAGAAAAGAAGAAGAAGAAGAAAAGAAGAAGAAGAAGAAGAAGAAGAAGAAGAAGAAGAAAAGAAGAAAGAAGAATAAGAAGAAGAAGAAGAAGAGAAGAGAAGAGAAGAAAAGAAGAAGAAGAAGAATAAGAAAGAAGAAGAAGAAGAAGAAGAAGAAGAGAAAGAAGAAGAAAGAAAGAAGAAGAAGAAGAGAAGAAAAGAAGAAGAATAAGAAGAGAAGAAGAAGAAGAAGAAAAGAAGAAGAGAAGAAAAGAAGAAGAGAAGAAGAAGAGAGTGAAAGGAGGATCCTTGAGAAGCTTAGGACTCACGCTACAGAGCTCGTCGAAGTCGAACATTTCAGAATGCAAATAAAACCTCTGCAAGAAAGAAGAAGAAGAAAAGAAGAAGAAGAAGAAGAAGAGAAGAGAGAAGAAGAAGAAAAGAAGAAGAAGAAGAAGAAGAAGAAGAAGAAGAAGAAGAAAGAAGAAGAAGAAGAAGAAGAAGAAGAAGAAGAAGAAGAAAAGAAAAGAAGAAGAAGAAGAAGAAGAAGAGAAGAGAAGAAGGAATAAGAGGAGAAGAGAAGAAGAAGAGAAGAAGAGGAGAAGAGAGAAGAAAGAAGAGGAAAGAAAAGAAGAAGAAGAGAAGAAGAAAAGAGAAGAGAAGAAGAGGAAGAAGAGAAGAAGAAGAAGAAGAGGAAGAGAAGAAGAAAGAGAGAAGAGAAGAGAAGAAGAAGAAGAAGAGGAAGAAGAAGAAGAAGAAGAAGAAGAAGAAGAAGAATTTTTGATGTAAATTATATTAGATATCGTTGAGTTATATACAAATGATCATTTTCGTCAATAAAGTTTGAAAAATTATAAAATACTTATTAAATTTATTAAAAGATTATAAAATTATTAATAAATTTATCTAAATACTATAAAATAATTATTATATTATCGAACTTTTATAATTTATTACAACATTATAGTGATTATTTTATAATAATTCATTAAATTTAATGACATTTTATAATTTTTAAAAATTAATAGCAAAAATGGTTATTTGAGTATAGTTTAAAAAATCAGTTTATTTTAGCAGTCTGCAGACGTTAAAAAACAAACAATCTTCTTCTTGCAGACTGTAGACTTTTGGTCCACTTCTTCTGCTGCAGATGCCTGCAGATGTGGTCCGCAGACTGCAGACCTTTTACCTATGCAAAAACAAACACCACCTTAGTTTGTGTTTCATTTCAATATCCTACCACTAAAAACTTAAAGCGTTTAGTACCTAAACTATCCGTTTTGGTCCGTTTTAGACCTAAACTTTCATTTTTTTTAAACATAACGTTAAATTTTGAACATGATACTAAAATGAAATAAAAACTAAATTTTAGGTATGATTTTTAAAAAAATGAAAATTTAAATACTAAAATGATTTAAAACTGATAGTTTATATACTAAATATGTAATTTACCCATAATTTTATTATATGTTAGGTTCTCTATTAAGCAAGAATTATCTTATTTCTAATCGAGAGAGTCGAGACACGCTTACTCTAATAATAAACAATTATTCACTACCAACATAATTATTACATAATATTGAAAGACAAACATCTCCTCTACATAATTATTACATAATTGTTACAAATTTCTTAATCAATTATAGTGCATAAACAATATCTCTAATAAATTCACATGACATATTAGAACAAAAATCTAAAGTTTGATTATAATGTCTATTTAGTTCGTTAACATACACATAACTAGAATTATTTTATGTCTTTCACCGTAACGGAGGAGCCAACATGCAACGAAGGGTGTCAAATGACACCTATTTTTTTTTAAAAAAAAGTTTTTTTATAAATTCAATATAAAAATAATTTTTTAAAATAAAATTGATGTAATTTTAAGATAATATTAGCATTCTTAAACATAAATTGACAACCATTAATCATTTTCATCCACTTTAACAAAAATTCTTCATACAATTTATAAATTGAAATGATCATCCAGCTCAGTTGGTAGAGCACAAGATTTTTAATCTTGGGGTTGTGGGATCGAATCCCACGAAGGGTATTTCATAATTCGGAAGTCTCCTACGGAAGCTGCTCTCAACCTGGCGTTGGGGGCAGCCTACTATACTGATCCCCCTTATCCCATTACATATGAGAATAAGGATCAGCTAATTTACACTCTAAAATAATTTTTCTAACTCTACGTTGTCCCCAATTAGGATCACTATAAATAGTGACAGAACATAAGCGTTGAGATGCTCCTACCCCTTTATTGGCGTAAAGAAGTTCTGTTTATTTTCTTGACCCCTTCAAAATATGTTGAATTGTCTCCTATCTGGTCAAGAGTGTCGAGACGCACCTACTCCAATAATAAAAAATTGTACACTACCAACATTACGAATACATAGCGTTGAAAGGCAGGCATCTCCTCCATAGGTCTGCCTAAGGTTATTTATCCTTTGCATGAGTCCAAGTGTTTAGATATACTTTCTACCATATATATCTCATATCAATGTCTTTGTGAGACTCCCTCCGATAAGGAGAGAATTATTACACCTTCGGAAATAACTCCTGAAAACTAAAATTTCTCTACCAACCAAGAATTTTGGTTGAGAGAAATTACAGCACAGCAGTCTTAATATACAGTTAAGAAAAGAGGCAAAATCAACGAGATAATGCGTTGAATTTTTTTTTTCACGAAATAGTGCCCTCGCCAGATTAATTGCTCATATAGGGTGATCTCTACAGTCCCACGTCCCTGGGGGTAGGTCGCCATGCACGCCCCATCACGCTGGGCATCCGAGGCCATCCGACCGAGGCCATCCGACCGAAGCCATCCGAACGAGCTATGAGAGGGCATGCGAGGGCAACCGAGCGAGCTATGCGAGGGAATCCGAGGGCAACCGAGCGAGGGTAGGTCGCCCGGAGTACATGGCGACCTACCCTCGCTCGGTTGCTCGGATTCCCTCGCATAGCTCGCTCGGTTGCCCTCGGATGCCATCGCATAGCTCGTTCGGATGGCCTCGGATGCCCAACGTGTTGGGACATGCATGGCGACCTTTGGGGGCTGCATGGATTGCATGGCGACCTACCTAGGTCGCTGGACGTGCATGGCGACCTATATGGGGACTGTAGAGATCACCCGATCTGAGCAATTAATCTGGCGAGGGCACTATCTCGTGAAAAAAAAAATTTAACGCATTATCTTGTTGATTTTGCCATGAAAAGATGATATTAATTTTATTATTATTTTTTAACATTTCAGATAAAAATTACCTAAAATATTATTATTTCTACCTAAAACATTAATATTTTTAATATTTCCGATAAAATACTTAATATTAACAAAACCGATAAAAAATAATATGTTAGATAACGTTTTACTAGATATGTTAACAAAACCGATAAAACACATAATAATAACAAATAGATACAAATAATAATATTTTAAGTAATTTTTTACCATAAATGTTAAAAAAATAATATCATAATAAAATTTAAAATTTATCTATTATATTTATTTAACCTATTAATTTACGAACAATCATAATTATCTTTTATCTTCGTCCATCATTGTAAATAAAACTCAACCCTATATCAAACTTATTTTCTTTCAACAAGGACATGAAACAGAGATGGACGTTTTATTCTAAAACAGAGAAGCCGACATAAACCACAACTGATCCGTGGAGTATGATGGGTTGGGGTTTCAAGAGTTCAACGGTTCAGAAATGAAGAAACTCGGTTCATCAAATCCACGGCTTTCTCGCAATCCGGTTTAAACAAGAAAAAAACATGTCCCTCTCCTTGAGTCTCCACCATCTCGATAACTCCATTCCACCCACTTTTCTTCACTGCTTCATGGTAAGCCACCGCCCTTTCTCTCAAGGAATCTTTCTCCGCAACACAAACCAGAACCCTTTCGCAGACCAGACCGGCGGCTAGCTTGTCGAGGTCGCAACCCGGGTTCAACATCGGGTCATTCGAACCGCCGCTCATCGGAAAAATGAACTCCATCAGCTCATCGCGCTCTTGGTTCATGAAAAAGGGGTTCAACAAAAGCAAACCAACGAATCTGAGTCCCACCAGGCCATCAAGTGCTGCACCAGAAGCTTTCATTATCATGTTGTGTGCAATGTTGGCACCGGCGCTATCTCCGGCCAAGAAGACTCGATCAAAGTCGGCTCTTTCGTTGAGCCATGGCTCGGGACCGTCCCCTTCAGCGTGCAAAGCCACCCACTTGATCGCAGTCCATGCGTCGTCGTATGCAACGGGGAGACTGTGCTCCGGGGCTTTTCTGTAGTCTACCGAAATTGCTATTACTTTGGCTACATTGACCAGGGAGGTGAGGTAGTTATGGTAAGAAGGAGAGAAAGGAGACCCTACGCAAAACGCGCCGCCGTGGAAGTAGATGAGAAGCGGGATTTTGGCGGTGGGGTCGGCGGTTTCCGGGAGAAAAATACGAGCCGAGGATAGGGTAGACACCGGTGTGTCCTTGGATCGAACGGCCAGTTGAGGTTCGTCGCATGATGGCACTGTTTCGGTTTTATACAGTCTCTCGACTCGACCATCTTCATAAACTCGGAACATAGGAAATGAAGGTAGGAACACACGAGCTATTTCTGTGGAATAATTTGAGGCCATTTTGGAGAAGAAGACGATGGACTCTAGATCTCAGGAAAGAGGTTCATAAAGCATATTCATTGATGTAAGAGTCAGACTTGTAGTAGAATATATTCGTTTAATAATAGAAAGGTAACATTATAAGACGTTTTTACCCCAAAAAAAACACTCTAACAATAAAATATTGACTATAAGACAAATTTTCTTTAAATATTATCAAATTTGTACCTTTTGACAAAACGGAGATAATGAATATTGCATTGGATGAGTATAAAATTCGAATTTGGTAGGTTTTGATTTAATCTAATTTAATCAGATTTTTAAAAAATTGGGTTTGGATCGGGTCGTGTTCAGTTTTTTAAATGTAATGTTGGATCGGGTTTAGGATGAAAAATATATCGACCTGACTTAAAAAATATACAGTTTTACCTTATATATTTAGGTATAATTACAATAATATTCCTCTATATATTTTTTTTCAATTAAGTCATTATAAAAATAAAAATAATATTTTATTATTATTTTGGGTCGATTTTTTAAGTTATATATCGGGTAGGGTGAAATCTTATTTTTGGTCAAGTCGATTGGATCTCGGGTCAGGTCTGGTGGACCAAAAATCCGATCCAACCCATGCTCATCCTTAAGCATTCACGAAGAAATTTGACACGTACAGGAATGCAAGTATCATGAGTCGCGCCTTCCATTACCTTAAAAGGGTAATTATATTATATTATATATTATATTATATTATTTATTTATATTTATTTATATTTAATTATTTGACTAAATTTTAGTGTACTTATTATTTTTTATTATTTTTTGCGGTTGTAAAATGGAATGCATGATCATATCTCGAGATAATTTGTCGATAAGATAATAATATTAAATTGTATTATTTAAATTTGTGATTTTTATTTTTTTATTTTTTAGCACTAGTTTATATTTTAATTCGTATATTATTTATCTAATTAGGTGTATTTCAACAATTGTTTTTGCAGATATATGACTTTAATCTTTCAAACTCTCAAATTCTCAAGATGATGAGTATTTCAATTATTGTTTACTATGATGGAGAAATTCAGGAAGATGAAACTGGCATTGTCTTCGCATTATATCATTCTGTTAGAATATCTTTCAAGAGAAATATCACTCTTGAGGAGCTGACCACTAAAATTTCAATGAATGTTCATCTTGAAATTATTAGAAAATTGTCCTCACTTCAGATTTCCAATTGCACTATTTTTTTAACTTATAAAACGTTCGAACTCTCTAAGGATGACGATGTTGCTATGATGGTTGATACTCATAATCAAAATTCAGACGTTGATACACAAATGTATGCCTCATTTATTGAAGTGTTTGTGGTTTGTGATACAAAATGTATGTCACATTTATTGAAGTGTTTGCGGTTCGTGGTATCTCTAACTTAACGTAATGAATAAATGGATCTAATATACGATCATCCACCTAATTAAATAAATAGTATACAAATTAAAACATAAACTAATACTAAAAAGATAAAATAACCTCAGTGACCAAAAATGCCTTATAATATACGATTTTAACCAACTTTTTTTGGATTTGCCAAAATGACCAACTAAATCGCAATGCGATCGATAATTCGCAACGCGATCTCCGGTATCGCAAATCAGTTTCCAGATTCGTAACGCGAACTTCGACTATCGCAATGCGATTTACATATTCGCATTGCGATAGTCCAAGTTCGTGTTGCGATAGTCGAAGTTCGCGTTGTAATTTTCCAAATTCGTTGCGATAGTCGAAGTTCGCGTTGCGATTTATTCCAAATTCGTTGCGATAGTCCAAGTTCGCGTTGCGGTTTATTCCAAATTTGTTGCGATAGTCCAAAATCGCAACGACTGGTGGTATTGCATTTGTTTCTTAAGAATTTTCTCTAAAAAGATATTCGCGGACGTGTCGAAGACACGTATTACCACGACCCGACCCGACCCGAGATGACGACGGACGGCGGCGCGCGAGAGTCCCCCTTGTTCTTTATCACTCAACAAGGAAGTGGGAAAGCCAAGCCTTAAATACCATTCCCAATAGTGTTTCCAATACTATGTGGGATTGAGCATTACCAACACTTGTTTCCAATACAATGTGATTATTCAGGAAACAATTAACAATCATGCACCTTAAAATAACTGAATCAGCAACCAATTGCATTAGTATTATACGATTAAATATGTCATAATTAAATGTCAATCTATAATCAATCGCGATTATTACAATTTTAAGCAAAACATTCAAAAATAATATCACTATTTAAGGCTCAATCCCACATAGTATTGGGAACAAGTGTTGGTAATGCTCAATCTCACATAGTATTGGAAACACTATTGGGAATGATAATTAAGGCTTGGCTTTCCCACTTCCTTGTTGAGTGATAGAGAACAAGGGGGACTCTCGCGCGCCGCCGCCGCCGCCGTCTCGTCTCGGGTCGTGGTCGTGGTAATACGTGTCTTCGACACGTCCGCGCGAATACTATATTTTTAGAGAAAATTCTTAAAAAACAAATGCAATACCACCAGTCGTTGCGATTTTGGACTATCGCAATGAATTTGAAATAAATCGCAACGCGAACTTCGACTATCGCAACGAACTTGGAATAAATCGCAACGCGAACTTCGACTATCGCAACGAATTTGGAATAAATCGCAACGCGAACTTCGACTATCGCAACGAACTTGGAAAAAATCGCAACGCGAACTTGAATTATCGCAACGAATTTGGAAAATCGCAACGCGAACTTCGACTATCGCAACGCGAACTTGGACTATCGCAATGCGAATATGTAAATCGCAATGCGATAGTCCAAGTTCGCGTTGCGAATCTGGAAACTGATTTGCGATACCGGAGATCGCGTTGCGAATTATCGATCGCATTGCGATTTAGTTGGTCATTTTGGCAAATCCAAAAAAAGTTGGTTAAAATCGTATATTATAAGGCATTTTTGGTCACTGGTGTTATTTTCTCTACTAAAAAACTAAATAAAACATTCATAATAAATATAATAAAAAATTTAAAATTAGTATTGTATAGATAAAATGACTCAAGATATGATTCTCATATAAACGCAACAACTCACCTGTCATTTTATAACTGCAAAAAGTAACAAAAAATTAATACAATAAAATATAATAAAATAATAAACTTTTAAATGATTATAATATAATAAAAAATTAATTTCTAAAAATGATAACTATACCTTTTTAAAACTTGATAGATTGATAGATAAAATAAAAAAATAATATTTTTGTTTGTGTGTGAGTGTTGAAAGTAAGGGTGTATTTATAAGAAGGGGGAGTGGACGAATGGTTAGATGATATTTATGGCAGACAGTTGGATTTAAATGAAATGTGTGGATCATGGTTTGCGTCTTTTGCCAGTTCAGACGGAATCCCGCGAAAGCGCGCTTCATGATTCGCGCCTTCCAACGTGGCGCCAGTTAGGACAGAACTCCGCAAATGCGTGCTTCATAATTCGTGCTTTGTCAGAAAATGTACTACATCGATAATATTTATAGAAAGAGTATCTGACATGTAATATTTTGTTGTTTTTGTGATTTTTGGGTAAAACAACTAAATTATAAGCCTAAAATTTTAGGTTAGAATTATTGTGTATGCAAAAAAAAATCTCGAGAAGATTCCCTTAAAAATAAAATAGGTTTGTAGACACTAATTTTTGGATGCCCAATCAAAGCCTCATTTTTCTGGCGTTCAACGAACAACAGCAACTAACCTCCGATTCTCACGGCACCAACATCACCACCAACGAACGTGATTTTCATGGACTCCAAACAACCAATAAACAGGCATTTCAGTCCGATTAAAACTCTACAACCAAGTCTAAAAAGGATGTTTATTACTATAAATAAGAGAAGGAATTTCATACGAGGGGGAAGCCAACCACTGAACAAAAAAACTGAAGGGGAATCACGGGCAACAGAGATTCGAAGCAAGTTACACAAAAAATCATTCAAAAAACAGAGGGAAAAAACCCGAAATCCATTTGAAACAAGAGACCAAAAGAAAACAAAAGGGAGGAAAACCATACCTTGATCGGAGGGCCATCGGGGAGTTCAAAAGATCGCCGGAATCTCTTCGTCTTTCGAAGATCGGACGGTCAGGTTATCGACGGCGGAACCTTGATTCTTTGGCGAGGAAGCAACAGAGTGCTCTCTCCCCCTCTATCTCGTGTTATGCTCTGGTAAAAAAGATGAACCCATTTTTAATTTATTTTGGGTTTTTACCATATATCATGTATATTAATATATTAGATATATTATGCATGTAACTATTCTAATTTTGAATGAAGCTTAGTTTGGCCCCTTTCTCTTGAATTAAAGTATTTGGGTCCCTTATTTATATCTCCTGTATATACGTGCATATATGTATATATACTATGTTCTAGACATATACCAACACTTTAATTTATTTTCTTTTAAATATGTTTTTTTATTATTTTATTATCTTTTTATTTAACATTGTTTTTTCCCATTTGATTTATTATTATGATTTATTATTTTATTTGTTTATTTTTTATGGTTGTTTCCTTGATTTATTTAATAGTTGTTTGTTATTTATTATCTAACATTTTCGATTTTTTAGAGAAATTACAACCGATCAAAGGTATGTATTCGAATCGAATGTTTCAAATTTAAATTTCTTAGTTTTCGCAATTAAGACGACCGAAAAATTAATTGGTACCGAAAGGGCGGTTCAAGGGTGTTAATCTTTCCTTGACTGTAACCGACTCCCGAACCCGACACGTTTCTGGTACAACGCAGATCAGGTAAGATGGTGTCCGACCCACCTAAATTCGTTTTAAAATGGTCGGTGGCGACTCCCAACCCAATTATTTCAAGCCGAAGCCCAATTCGGGGCCTAATCGAAAGACGGTCTCGACAGCTTGGTGACTCTACTGGGGACAGGTAAGTGAGTCAGACCAGAATTAATTTTCGTTTGTCTTTTTATGCGAAAATGTAAATTTAAATTTAT